AGGAGCTGACTCATACCTGGGACACATGATCAATGCCAGAGAGTAAGAAAGAAAAAAAAGGACCTACAATCTTTTAATTTAACTCCAAATCTGTTGTCTGTCGTAGTGTTTCAAAATAATCAGTAACTTTTAAATTTTTGAGAGGGAAGAGATTTTCACTTAATGTGAGTGTTAGGTTGTTTAAATAAACTCCTATGTGGGATTACATCAATTATAACCCCTTAAGAGTATAAAACATACTACTAAAAACATTGCTAGAAGTCTCTAAAATGTTTATTGCTAGATTTCCATGTATGTGTGCTATACATTCATGAAATGGTGTCAATGAGAAGCATGTTTGAATAGAACATAGTGTAACATTGGGCAGAACATGCACTTAATTAGGCAGAAACACAGGGACAGAAAGATATCCCTTATACCCCTTATACCCCTTATATATAAGAAACTGTCTCAATTGGCATTTTCTTATGGATCTGAAATCTATTTAATAGAGTTAGGAGTTCCTGAAAACAGCTTAATTACTTTCTCAACACTGATCCTGAGGAAACAGCAAGTTAATTTCTATGGAGTGTCCTGAGGGGCTCACTGGACTAAAACACACCGCCTCTGCTCCTGAAGCCCCTGACATCCTCCTCTAGTCCTTCTCTAATAAGGCCGGGACAAAATCAGTAAGCCACAGTTTTAAAGCCACACAATTTGGCTCAAATGTAATAGCTATAGGATCATGAAACAAGACGTAGGGACAAGACTTAACAGAAAAAGGAACTTGACTTGAGTTAGACTGAACAATGAACGCTGTCAGTCTTTTGTTGGGCATCTCTTCCCCATAACTCTTAACTGAACACTTACACCAGCAGCGACAACAAGAGAAAAGTGACCAGAAGTGATTCATCTCAAACGAGTGCTTGGAGACAAAAAGTGTCAGACACTTGGGAAGCAGAGAGAAGGTCGACTAAATATGTTTGAGATTTTTAGGAGAGGAGAGTGCCCACTATGTTTTGTGTCAAGACCATTGAATCTGTCCACTCCAGACAGTTGGAGACGACTTGTTGACGATTCTGTCTGTTATCAGGCCTGATGATGAAAGCAGTATTGTAGTTAACTGACAGCGAACATCAGACCCTGCAGGGTTTTTATAATGTGAGGCACTTGCAAGGTCACATTAAAACCTATGATTACGTAGATTGAAAGAATTTGCACCAACAATGAAAAGATGCATAAGCAAAGTATTATGTTTTAAAGCTTACAGAAAATGTTGTTTTATGGGCCCCCTAGAATTAATAGACCTGATCAAAAATCCTAATCAAGCATCCTACACCCTTACACCACCATGTAACAAAACGCAGCATCTGCAGCGAGGCTATCAATTCTTACAAATCATCATATATCTCATAATCAATAACGCACTTTCAGATACAATTTAAAATGGTTTGACTTAAAGCAACATTGTCAAAATTGTTTACCAGCGTAACAAAAGGATATATAAAAACATATAAAAAACAGAACAATATTTACAGAAAAGAAAATGACTCCCAAGTGATGTGTCTGTCTACAAATCAATGCAGTATTTATTGTACTAGCAGAGCAGGAATTAAGATATGTTCAGTTACAATCTGTGTTGCTACACTGATGCTATTATTCTTAAAGTTTCATCAATGTTCAAATGCGAACCCAGTGGAGCAGGTTTCCTTGATTACAGTGGCAGCAAAGCCTTTGGGTCTCCAAAAGCTGCTGCATGTTGTTGCTTAGCTGCCTGATGGAGCAGCCTCATTAGGCCGCATTTCAAACTTCGTCACTAATGACATTTCACCAGTCAGAATAAGGCGTACTGTGTCACACGGTGATTTATGGTCACTGTTCTTCACTGTACCCTTGAGTGCGTTTGTGCACTAAAAACATAGTGTTTTGATGACTACATAAAATAAGCAGACAGTGCTTGGTGACTTTCTATTAGCCGGTTTGAGGCTCAGTGGGATTTTCAGAGCAAAAGTATTTGTGCAAGGAGGTGAAGAAGGAGGGAGACCTGGTGTGCAACTAGAACTAATGATTTATTATTAGCTCAAATTTCCATTTCTGGTCAGTTTTTTTTCCACATATAAAAAAAGGGTCCCTACAGGACAGAGGGGCTAAAGAACTGTTTTGTGTTCTTGATAACTATGGACTGACTCAGCATGTGACGGAGCCCACGCACAATAAGGGGCACACTCTGGACTCAATTATCTGAAAGGGTCTGAATATCTCTAAGGTTGTGGTGACTGATGTTGCACTCTCTGATCATTCCTGTGTTTTCTTTGAGTGCTCTATTTCTGTTCACAATTGTTTTCAAAAAGCGATATTTAACTGAAAATACAGTATTAGGGAAATGTTTACTCAGAATCTTTCTTCCATACTTGCCCCTGCTAACATCGCAGTAAATGAGCAAGTAGATCATTTTAATTCAAAAATGTTATAGATGCCATTGCTCCAATAAGGTAAAGGAAGTGACTGGCAAGAAAATATCTCCATGGAGAAAGGCCATGACCGTGAGAGCAGAAAAAAGAGAGTGTCGAAAAGCTGAATGCAGGTGGTGAAAAACAAATCTCCAGGTTCATTTTTAAATCTATAAAGAGAGACTTGACTTTTATAATTTGGAAAAACAATGCACGTGCCTTGTTTGCTACCGTTGACAGACTAACAAACCCCCCAGTGTCAATAGCCTCTGAATTTCTATGCCTGCAATGAATTTGCCTCCTTCTTCACTGACAAAATTCAGAAAATTAGACAAGCAGTTGTATCAGACAAGCAGCTGTATCAGGTACAGCAAATGTTTTGTCCCTGTGTCCATTTAAAAATCAATTCAAACACCATGACACAATTAAATCAGATTAATGATAAAAACCTAGAGGACATTATTCAACTTCTGAAATCCTCCTCCTGCTGCCTTGATATTATACCAACAGGGTTTTTCAAAACTGTTTTTCCTTGCATGGCCTCAGATCTACTTCATATAGTAAACAAATCTCTTCACTCAGGTATTTTTCCACAGGCCCTGAAAACTGCAGTCTTAAACCGCTCTTAAAAAAGAATAATCTAGACCAGGGGTTTTCAAAGTGTGGGTAGGTGAGCCTCCCCTCAGAGAACATAAGAACAGCCGCGCCCCCCCTCCCAATTATTATTGCTGTTATTATTATTATTG